CACAGAGCAGCCCCGGACACGCCGCTGGTTCTGTCATTCAGCTGCTCCTCCTTAAGAAAGGGAGCGGAGCAGCCTGTGTGCACGTTGTGTCTCCTTTTCCAAGCCAGGCTCAGCCCGCTGGGCCTGCCCCTGCTCTGTTCCCTGAGCAGAAACCCACAGCTGACAGCAGTTGTGAAAGGCCCGGCCACGCACCGAGCTCTGCTCCAGCAGACCTTGTGCAATGCTGATCTGCAGGCAGGGAGCAGCCCCTCCGGGCTGCTGCTCAGAACAGAACGTGCTGCTTGCAGGAAACATGAGCCACAGCAGAACTTGCTTCGAGTCCCCAAGAGCTTCATCTGCTTCTGTCCCAAATCCTTCAGTCGGTGCACTTGAGGGGAATGACAGAGCCTTGGTAGCCTCTCTCCTGGCTGGCTTTAACTTTAATCTGGCAACACTTAGGTCAGTAGATGCATGGCTTTAATTTAGTCACTTGGGAAAGAGGTCAAACCAAACTCCAGGAATTAATGTCCCTAGCAAAGGCTGGACAAAAATACTTTTATCTATGGAACCGGAAGCATTTTTTTCTTACAGATGGGGTTTTTCTGCCTTCCTCTTCACCTTTTCTCTGTCTCATCTGTTTAGAACCCTTGGGAAAGAATATTTTTGTACCCTCTCAGCCCCAAGCACAGTAGGACCCTGTCCTGGATCAGTCACTGGGCCCTGGAGAGCACAGGGGTCCAGAAGAGCTGGCTGGCTTTCCAAGATTACCTCCCCTGAGCTCAGGGAAGGTCCATCCCAACAAGCAGGAAATGAAGCACAGGCACCAAGGAGGGAGGCAAACTCTTCTCAGTAATGCTCACTGATGGGATGAGAGGCACAAATTGCAACATTATCAGATTCCATCTGAACAGAAGACAACAATGGTTTTTATTGTGAAGGTGCTCAAAACCTGAAGCAGGTTGCCCAGAGAGGCTGTGGAGCCTCTACCTATTAAGATATTAAAAACCTAACTGGACACCATCCTTGGCAATCTGCTCTAGCTCACCTTGCTTGATGGAACTTGGGCTAGAGGGTCACAAGAGGTCCCAGACAACTTAATGAACTCTGTGAAATACTTCTGATCAGTCTTTGCAAATGCAGGAAGAGACAAAGAGCTCTAGAAATCTTGATGCATGGAATAGCGAGGCAAGGTCACAAACTCCCTCTGTATCTGTAAAAGGAGCTGGGACTGTATTGGGAAGACAGAGCTGGTTATCTTTTCTGTTACTAAATGAGACATGAATACTTTCCAGATTAA